TTCCAACTCTCCACATACACTAACTGATCATAAAACCCGTCGCCTGTCACAACATAGCTGCTATACTGTCGGATGGACGAGATACAAGACAAACAGTCGTTAAAGACTTGTTGAAGATTATTCTATGTTTGACGGCGCCTAATACTTTAGTAATATATCCTATTTAGCTATAGAGGTGAGACAAATGAGTGGTAGGTCGCAGTTCAGAGGTCCAAGACATCTTTGAAATTTTTGTGTGTTGACTCTCTGCGGTTGCGCCCTCATTAATGACAATCACTGCGAATTGAGTTTCTCCATAGATTTGTGGTTAATCTGCAGACGACCAGAAATGAATTTACATTAGTAGAAAATACCTAAACTCGAATCCTTTTGTCTCAAATTGAGCACGGTGAGTCTTGATCGTAGATATACACCAATTAGGATTTGGCTGGTCTGTATGCAAAGGACCTTGAAGGCCAAGACAGATTTTTTTCTGCAGTTGTGGATATTTTAGTACAGGAAATAAATCTAACCACGATTGATCTCTCATTTGAGAGCTCTACTCTAGTTAAGTTTTCTCTAGAAATCTTACGACGTTCTCGATAATCGAGGCTTTGCTACACATCGGCATTGCAGTGGATTAAAGGATTCTCTCCGTGCCACAAGATAAATATATGGAGCTGTATTTCTTTCTAGAAGAATGGATGTTAACTCATCGGAATAGTGTCAATTGCATTTCAGAATACCACGTAAAAGGACCAAGTTTTTTGTTTTTGTTATCACCTGTCTATATGAATAATCTCGTTATTCAGTGCTCTATTGTTCACTGAAGCGAGTTTTATTACGAATGAGCCTCTTTAATGTGACCATTTTCTCATTCTGAGCAGCGGGCACTTATTTTTGGTTGTATGAATAACAACAACCTCTGTAATGTATATTGCGTTGCGTTATGATACACAATTATGTGGTGCATATAAGAAAGGGATAGACCAGTTGTTAGAACCCGTAAGGTAGGAGCCGGTTCTCTCCCCCTCCACTTGCTACTTTAAACTGACAGCCAATTGTAACTTTATATCTGGAAGAGCACTGTCAAGATCCTTGAAGAAATATTTAAGGCCTGCTAGTTGCTGAATATAACTAATTGAAAAAAGTATCTCATGTCTTGGAAACGACGAATGAAGTTAGGATTAAAAAATTTCCTTGAAAATATTTTGAGTATAGAACGAATCCGGATGCAAGATTTTCAGACGTGATGAGCTTTGATAATTTTACGTATTTAGAATAATGAGCACTTCTACTTGGTCAAGTTGGTGCTCACAATATACAGGTTTTCCTATCCATAAAAATGGAGTCAACCACTCGGATATTTGACTACCTTGCGGACAGTGCTATAGTAGAGTAGTTCAGTTGTTTGGCATGTACTACTAAGATGCTGTGTTCAAGCTTCACGCCATCAGATATGGGACGAACTTGGGCAAGTCAATAACGACAACACACTAACATTGTTATGATATAAGGCGAACCTTGCGGTTAGTCAACGTGTTTAGGAAGCTAAATGATCGAACGAAAGAATTTTGGATCAGGCTCCGTTCTATCCACAGCTATGAATAGTGATAGTTGAAGGAAAAGTATCGGACTTGAAAAACTATTTCTAGACGGAACTCTATACCAAAAGACAGAGTCTTCTCGTTCTATCTCTCGCTAATTCTATTATTTTATAGCTTATGTTAAGATAATAAATAACGATTATAATAAAAAGCAGTGCGTCACAATATCGATTATATAGCTACCGATGTTAAACATCGAAAACTCTGACTCATTCAATCGGACTACTAGCATTAATCTTATACACTATACGAATCTTCATTTGGCCTTTCCGTTAGCAAACTAAGAAGCAGATAATAAGTGCTAAAAATGACCATTACGAATCAAAAGCCGATTAAAAACTTATTTGACCACTAGTTGTGAAAGTTTAATCAATTTCTTTAATGCATTAATAATTTCTCTCTAAAAAAATCGTCTAATATAATTCGACTAACAAACATTTTCCAAACCGGTAAGTACAGGTATAAGAGACACTCATTTATGGTATAAATTTTGTACTTTCTTCGCAAGTTCAGGTGATGGTGGTGATGCTAAAAAATAAAAAAATATTTTTAAAGAAAGACAGAAGAAATAATACTCAGTAAGAATATGTATAATACGCGTAATCAATGTTTCAATACCTTTTGGACAATTCCCAACTAATTTTAATATTTCCGGACTACCCATACACATTCCACGAACCTTAATAATCAGATAATCAATTATTAAAATAAAAAACCGTTCAATAAAATTTCAAGGAGTTTCTAAGACACGAGGTATTACTGGTTTAATATCACCATTAACTATAGATCATTTAAAAAACCCAAAAGAATATTTTGAAGAGTTTTTAATGAAGAAAAAAAAAGATTTAATTATAAAACAGATAACTCGTATGTTAACAATTCAATATCGAATGAATGAATTAATAATGAATTGGTCATCAAATGAATTTTAGGAAGGAAAATTAATTGCTGATAAATCAGTTAAAAATCATTTATTAAAAGATTTCAAAAATATTTCAAAAAAATTTAATGAATATGAAAATGATGATGAAAATTTATCTGAATGTTCATTATTTTTAATTGATACAAGTGCTTATGATATGAAAGAAATTTATTTTGATGATGAAAATTCACGTGGAAATGAAGGTAAAGTTGAACTTGTTAATATTCATATAAATGAATTAATTGAAAATTATTCTGTATCAATTGATCAAATTGGTATAATAACCTATATAATTTACAAGTACAATTATTAAGACAAAAACTTTTAAATAAATATCCAAATTTAGAAATAAATTCTGTTGATGATTTTCAAGGAAGAGAAAAAGAAATTATTATTATTTCAATGGTTAGATCAAATTTATATGGTTATTTACTTTTATTTTAATTTTTACAAAAAACGAGATCTTTTTCATTTTTAGGTGAAGCTGGATTTTTATCAGATAGTCGTCGAATAAATGTTGCTATAAAACGTGCACGTAGACATTTATGCATTATTTGTAATGTACAAATACTTACTCATGATCCATTTATTAAAAGATTAATTGATTATATGATTCAACATGGACAAATTCATTTAGCATTTGAATTTATTGATGGTTTTTATTATTTTTTTTATCTTTATTTGAAAGTTTCATTT